GAGCAAGTGGAGAAAATTTTCCAAGTTTGATAAATACATCCTATTTAGCATGCAGGATGTGTATGCATGCAGAAAAGAATTGTTCTACATGAATATCTATGAGCATTTTCCTTAAAGTAGAAGTGAGGTTGAAATGCTGGTTGAGTAGGTCACTGATGTGAGTGTTATGACTTGTAAAAAAGAAAATGAAAATTTCAGACAACATTTCCAAAGAGTCAACAGTGTTTCTAATTATAATTTTATTTAATCAGAAGACTAAGCTCATTTTCTTTTTTAACATTTAAGCAAAATAATATTGCTAATACCATTTTCTGGAAATCTCTTGATCTTGAAGTAGATCTTGATTCATGCAGCTATTTATTGCTACTTTCCAGATTTTCAATAGTGGTGTTTTCTTATAATACTTGGAAGGTGATGAGAATTAAATATGGGAGCTAATGCATGTAATGTATGTTCACCGTTGAGGTTAGGCAAGGCAATAGAATGCACACAAGTCCTTTGCCAAGCATGCTGGCACAAGCAAGGGCATATCCTCAAAGTGTTAAAGCAAAAGTCTTCTGGAAGACATGGTGCAGCACCTTTTATAGTTTTTTTTTTAACTTCACATGTTTATGCACACATGCAAATATGGATACATAAATCATATTTCTGCTGCGACTGCAGTGAAGCACAGCAGTTGGGCATGCATGCACATGTGCAGACAGCTGAGGAAAGCCTTCAAAACAGCACACCAAGCCTTTTAGAGGATGTGGCTGGTTTGAGGGGAAACATTTTGCTCATTCCAGTGAGCTTTTTTTTTAAGCAAATGTACCTTTTTGAATGTTTTATACAAGCCTATTTTCTATCATTTTGCTATGATCTTTCTTATTAGTGGAATAATACACTGTTTAGTGCAATTAATTCTGAAATGTATGGACGTCATTATTGTTTGTATTATATTTTAAATTTCCCTATATGCAAGAACTCTTGAATGATCTGGAACTATAATAAATGCACTAATCTTGATTTATTGAAAGCAGATTTCTACAGGCTAATTCTTCTATCACACTCCTAATGTCTTTCAGTAAATAAGTATTGTATATATACAATGCCGTGTTAAAAATTCTTTTCTATAAACTGTAAGGTGGTAATTAAAAGATCAAAATTTTCATTTTGTATAGTTGGAAGAAATATCCATCGGTTCAGTTCCAAGTAGGAAAAAAAAAACACTGGAAACATGGAGACTGCTTGGAAGGATGGTTTAATGGTAGACAGGACCACATGCGTTTTTGGGTCCTGGGCAAAAAAAAGCACATGGGTGAGAGATGCTCTCTTGGGCCCCACCTTAGAGTTTCCTGTTTCTATGTAAGAAATGAATTCTGATTGGTTGTCGGACTCCCATGGGGCCATGCAGGGCTACCTTTGCAGTGCCTTGAGTGCCAAGCTTGGTTGAATTTTGCTGAGTGATGTAATCTTCCCAGGTACCATGTGGTGAGTTCTGTTGCTACATGGGTAAAGGGCTAATCCTACTTTTGTTGGATCTTGGATGAGGGCATTTGCTTATGAATAGACCTAGCTATCTCTTTATCTTTTAAGTGCTGACATCCTTTGTGGGCTATTGAGGAGGGGGGTGGGTATTAAGAGTGTCTGCTTCCTGCCTAAAAAAACATGTTTCTCCATTTCTCATCCAGGGAAATACAATATTCTGCCTTTTTAATATTTCTAGAATATTTCATTTTCCCAGGAGAGGGTGGTTGCTAACTTCCTATGGATGGCTGTTCTGATAGTATTTGAGTCTATGTGCAATTTATCAATGTTGTACCAAGTCTAGTTTAAATAAAAAGTTTTTACTATTTTACAACATCCTATATATCTGTGATGGCGAACCTGTGGCATGAGAGCCTATTTGCTGGCATGAGAGCGGTCAGCTCTGGCGCGCATGCGCACACCGGCCAGTTAGTTTTCGGCTTTCTGGAGGGCCGGGGGAGGCCATTTTCGGAGAGGGCAAAAAACAGGCCCAACAGACCAACCAGAAGTTTGTTACCAAATGTCCAGTTGGCCCTTTAGGCCTGTTTTTCACCCTCCCAGCCTCCAGAGGCTTTCCTGAAGCCTGGAGAGGGCTAAAATGCCCCCCCCTCCCCGGAAGGCCCTCTGGAAGCCCAAAATTATTATTTCCAAACCTTCGGTTGGCCAGTTGGGCCCACCCCGGGAAGGGCAAAAAATGGTCCCATCTGGCCAACCGGAAGTTCAGAAACAATTCATTTCCGGCTTCTGGAGAGCCTCTAGAGGGGTCAGGGGATACAGTTTTCGCCCTCCCCAGGGTTCAGGAAAGTCTCTGGAGCCTGAGAAGGGAAAAACTCCCCCCCCCACATGGGGGCAGTGCACATGTGCAGGGGGTCACGTGCACAGGTGGGTGGGGCGCATTGAATTGTGGGTGTGGGCACACATGCACAATTTTGGCACACTTTTAGAAAAAGGTTCGCCATCACTGATACATACATACATACATATATATATATATAACTCAATAAATAGGACATAGAGGAATGTTTCATTTATTTTAGGGTTTAATTGCTGCAAAATTATTTTCAAATAATGTGTTAACATTAATATTGAGCAGAATACTAGCTTCAGCAGATACAGAATGTAGTTCTTGCTTTAATAATCTTTTAGCATTTTTATGCCTAACCTAAATCATTTATTTTAACACAATCATCATTTGCTGCATTTCACTATGAAGAAAGTAATTGTCAACTGGTAAAGCGTTGCCATGACTATTATTAGGTTGGCATTTGAGGGAGGATTCCATGCATACCTTCGGCCAGAGTTGGATCTCATATTTCTACAACCTTGTTGTGAATATGATCTATGACGCATGACAGAAGGAAGGAAAGAGAGGGGTAAAGTTCAAATGCAATTAAGCAGAAGCCAGTTTGGCTCCGGAGGAGTACATGCCAGAATGTTGATCCCAATAAATGAATGGATTTCTTTTGAACTTTGTCTCAAGGCTCGTAAATTAATTAGGTCATCTTCTGGGAACTTCACAGAAATTTAGTAGTATATGCAAGTTCAAGACAGTTAATAAAGTTACATATTCTACTGTATGTGATATCTGATAAAATGGAAATTTATCCTTTCTGGTTATGACAATTTCTTGTTTTATACTCCTCACAGTCATCATGATAAATAATTTTCCAAAACGTTTTTGGATTGGTTTCATCAAATTTATTTTTTAAAATACTGTGTATCTATACCTCTAATAGCAATCTTGGCAACCCCTCCCCACTTTTTTTGATTTTAACTGGCCCTGTTGAATGGATGGTAGATTCCACCTTTTCCTTTTTTATTTTTCATTAAAAATAATGAACAATATTTAAATATTATAATACAAGATGATTTTTTCTCTAAAAACTAGAACCTTTTAAGAAAAATTACATATTATTCTTACTATTATACTTATTCAGTTACTACAATAAATGGTAAAATATTTTCTGTCCATGTGTGATTTATGCATAATAATTTGCCTTTAGACTTTTTCATATTTCACATTGTTCCTTAGTATTCAAAGTTGTTTCTTCTCTTTCCTTGATGAAATAAATAATATAATTTGAGCAGTCAATAGAATTCATTTATATTAATTGATATAATATATCAAAATATATATTATATCAATCTGCACCAACAACTCCCTCTCCCTCTCCTGGAATTAGAGAAAAGTTTATCTTCCTGTAGTTTAAATCTCATGCTTTACCACTGAAATTCTGCTGTAGAAGAAGAGGCAGAGCCTAGGGACCAGCACCAATTTGGTGCTGAAGGTTAGTTGACTAGAGGCTTGAGCAATAAATCTTAACTAGAACTTAACATATCCTCCTGATTCTTTGCACTTGGCATTCTGCACATCCGACTGGAGTTTTCCTTTTCCTTGTACCCCATCCATTCACTAAAATTTTCCCAAAGGTTCTTCCAACCACTGAAGCTATTTTTCTGGGAACGTACCCAGATATTATGGGGAAAAGGAGGGAACTTAATTTGCTCTTTTGTGTTTGCTTTATTTCCCTCTTACCACATTATACATTCTATTCTACAAGGAAGCTTTCTATATCTTTATCTCAAACTAATATTACAGTCATCTAATGCAGCTATAGAAGCTGATATCATACTGTAGTATAAGACAACATGAGACTTTCTGTTGGTTTTGCTGATACATTTTAATATTACTTTTTATGTGTACCTTTGACTCTTGGTGACTTCCTGGCTAAGTCCCTGCAATCTTGGCAAGATTTTGGAAGTGGTTTGTCATTGTCTCCTTCCTAGAGCTAAGACTTTCTCAAGGTCACTAGCTGGCTTTGTATGTAAGATGCAGAGGTGATATTCAGCAGTTCTGATCAGTTATGGAAAACCGATAGTGAAAATTCTGAGTTCGGAGAACCAGTAAATATCACCTCTGACTTGCCCCGCTCCCATCTAGTCTCTGTCTCCTGAGTCCCAGCTGATTGGGAGGGAATGGGGATTTTGCAGTACCCTTCCCCTGGAGTGGGGAGGGAATGGAGAATTTACAGTATCCTTCCCCTGCCACGCCCACCAACCCATGCTCACCGAGTCACACCACGCTCACCAAGCCACACCCACAGAACTGGTAGTAAAATTTTTTTTGAATCCCACCACTGGTAAGATGGACTAGAACTCACGGTCTCCCAGTTTCTAGCCTAATGCTTTAACTATACATCAAACTGCCTGTCATTAATACGATTATCTCTCTTTATTTTGCTTTCATTTTTTGTAACTTTTATAGTATATAGCCCCATTTTGCATAATGTTTCTGGATGCTTTTCTAAATTGATGTTTTAATGAATTGTATAAAACATATTAAAAAGTTTTGTTGCTCCTTAAAATAGTGATATGGAATATAATGCAAGATACCTTTTTGTTTTGCACAATATTTTACTATTACTACATTTTGTTTCTGTCCTGCCTACTTACTATGTAATGTGGAGTTTACACTTTCCCATTTTTCTTCACAGCTTTGGCAAGCAATCTGGAGGAAAACGAGGTTGTGAATGCATTGTGTTGGAACCTTCAGAAATGATCGTGGTAAGGACCATTCTTTGAAAAAAATTGCTTGAGAAAGAAGGAATTATTTATTTTACCTTCTTGTGGCTATGGCTACAGAAAATTATCTCATGAATTTGTGCTTTTCACTGATTTGTTCTATTTTCTATTAATTTCTTGCATGAGCTCTGAATGTTTTTAAAGGAATACCTATGCCATACATATATTATCAGTGTTCTAAGCATATCTTGCTTTCTATGTGGCGTATACGTGTATATGTATATGTATATGTATATGTATGTATGTATGTATACTTATGTATGTATAAACATACATTTATACATACATACATAGTTTCATTTTGATGTTGTTAGACACACATAGTTGTATTGCAGCAAAATGGGTGGCAAATAAATTTAATAACTTCCCTCCCTCCCTTTTAAGAAATGAGTGTAAGAAAAGTAATGTTTGCATACACTGGAATTATAGTGGAAAGGTAGAAAGTATTCTATAACTTAATCTAAGTTTTTGAGCTGTGGTGATGTAGTGGTTAGGATGCAGTTCTGTTAGCTACTTCTGTTAACCACTGGCTGCCGGCTCAGGATTGACTCAGCCTTCCGTTCTTTTGAGGTCGGTAAAATGAGAACCCAGATTGTTGGGGGCAATATTCTGACTGTAAACCACTTAGAGAGGGTTGTAAAGCACTGCAAAGCAGTATATACCCTATTTTTTGGAGTATAAGATGCACCGGAGTATAAGACACACCAAGGTTTTGAAGAGGCAAATTAAGAAAAAAAGGTTTTACATTCTTCAAAGCTCCCCAAAACGGGCTGTTTTTCGTGAAAACAGGCCCATTTTTTTTCAAAAAAAAAGAAAAAAAAAAGGGCATGAATAACCCGCAGGAGGTTGAGTGCTCCGGAGGGGGGGGCAAAGACGAATGTAAAACCTTTTTTTCTTAATTTGCCTCTTCAAAACCTTGGTGTGTCTTATACTCCGGTGCATCTTATACTCCAAAAAATAGGG